TCATAACTCATATATAAAGATGTTTTAAAATTTCATAATTTTATCCTAAGTAGAACTCGAGTTATTCGCATTTGAAGTTGCAGCTGAATTCGCGCATGTAAAGTTCAATTTGCATGCCTAACTTTAAAAATCAATAACTCGAGTTATACTAGGCTAAAAGACTTTATTTTTTATCCTTTGAACTCCACTTTAACACAATAAATAGCTTTATAATTCTCCATTTACCAGTTTACTCATAACATGCTCAAAAACAAAGTGAAACAACACATACAAATTATGCATGCAAAGCGGGTGGAGCTTAACTTATTGCATATTCAAAATTACTTAAAAACTGAAACTCCAAAGTAACAAAATACATAAATGAGCACATTACCTTATCTACTAAACATTTTATAAAAGGGAAGAACACCAACCTCTTCAAAACTTCAAGAAAAAAGCAAAGAAAGCTCAGTTCTAACCATGCATGGCTTGTGGTTTTGCTTGAGGCTATAACCTGGAATCTTCTTGATTCCTTGGCTAAGGATGCTGCTAAAGCCTTCTTTGGTGGAGATTTGGAGAGGAATAAGAGCTAAAATGAATTTTCTCTCTCGGTTGAATGGCTAGAACTTGGAACAACCGCAAGGTGTTCAAAGATGCTCTCGGTAGAAATAAAACTTTGGTCTCGGTTTTTCTCTATTTTGATCGGATGTTTGGGGAGGTTTCTTTGCTGAATACTAAGGAAGAAATGAAGGCTTAACCATATAAAAATAGAATTTAAAGACATCTCCAAAGTGGGTCAAACTTTGAGGGAGCATGGTGGGGGACATGGTGGAAGACCAAGGTGGAATAACTTCATTTCCAAGGTGGTCAAGATTCTTGCATAACTAGGATTAATAAAAAGAAAATGAGTACTAAAGGGGCTGAATAAGGTGTGAATGAAGCATCAAATGGGTTAGGAGACAAGGTCTTATAACAATTGAATAAAGTAAGGTAATGCCCATGCTAGCCCATACTTAACATTAAAATTTGATAATCATGCTTAACTCTTGATTAAGCATTTACTAAGCTTAATGCTCACTTAATCTCTACTTGAACCCACGAATATGGACCGAGATTGTTCATCAATTGGGTTGAAATGATAGTGTTTGAGATTCAGATTTAAACGTCTCGAAAACGAATTAAAACGGATAACATTTCAGTTTAGCGATTAAACCGAAAATACAAATGGTGATCGGTAAAATAAATCGAACGACTCGTAAGATTATTTATTCATTCAATAATATAACATGTAGCCACATCATGAAGGCATTTAGTAAAATAAAAATAAAACGCCATTATTCAAAATTAAATCGGAAAAATCTAATAGTCGAACGGGGCGCTACAGTCTACCCACCTTAAAAACATTCCGTCCTCGGAATTCGAAAACAAAACAACTAGAAAGCACTAAGAATAAATATACAAAGGGGAACTCAAAATATAAAGTTCGGATAATGCCTCCTGATATAGTCCTCCCTCTCCCAAGTCGCCTCAAACTCATCGTGACGGCTCCACCGCACCTTCACTAAACTCACTGCCCGGTTCCTCAGCTGATGGACCTTCCGGTCCAAGATGGCTGTCGGTACCTCCTCGTAGGTAAGGTCTCGCTTGACCTGCAGCTCACCGAAGTCCACCACATGATCAGGATTATGCACATACCTCCGAAGCATCGAGACATGGAACACGTCGTGCACACCCGACAAGTCTGGTGGTAAAGCCAGCCGATATGCCAAGTTCCCAACTCGATCGAGGATCTCAAACGGCCCGATATAGCGAGGTCTAAGTTTTCCCTTCTTCCTGAAGCGAATCACACCTCTCATGGGTGAAACCTTCAAGAAGACATGATCTCCCACTGCATAAACATGCTCTTGCCTCTTCCGGTCGGTATAGACCTTTTGCCTCTCTTGGGCAGACTTGATAGTCTTCCAAATCTCCTCAACTGTCGCCGCATTACTCTGGACAAACTCCGGACCCATAATCCTCCTCTCTCCAACCTCATCCCAATACAAAGGAGTCCGGACCTTACGTCCGTACAAAGCCTCGTACGGGGCCATCTCTATCGAAGAATGGTAACTGTTGTTGTAGGTCAGCTCGACCAGCGGAAGGGCATACTCCCAAGTCAGGCTCCGGTCCAAGACCACAACCCTCAATATATCCTCCAAGTACTGGATCGTACGCTTTGACTGACCATCTGTCTCGGGGTGAAAGGCTGTACTGAACTCCAACCTCGTCCCCATGGCTCGGTGAAACGTCCTCTAGAACTGGCATGTGAACTTAGGATCTCGATCAAAAAAAAATGTCCACAGGCACCCCATGAAGCTTCACAATTTCCTTGAAGAACAATTCGGCGTAATCACTCGCCTTCATGGTCGTCCGGACTAGCAGAAAATGGGCAGACTTCGTAAGGCGATCCACTATCACCCAAATTGAATCATGCCCGGCCCTCAACCTTGGCAGTCCCACCAAGAAATTCATGGTGATGCAATCCCACTTCCACCGGGGAACCTCAAGGGGCTGCAACAACCCTCTCGGTTTCTGGTGCTCAGCCTTCACTTGCTGACACACCAGGCACCCATCCACGAACTTCGCTACCTACCTCTTCATGCCTCGCCACCAGAAAGACTTCCTCAAGTCCTGATACATCTTCGTGTTATTAGGATGGATGGTGTACGAGGCACTATGGGCCTCCCTCAAAATATCCCTTCGCAGTTCCCACACCTTCAGAACACAAAGTCTACCCTCGAAGACCAAGGCCCCATCAGATGCGACTGAAAATCCACCAACTCTACCGGCTTCCAAAAACTCTCTCATCTGGCATATGAACGATCATTCGGCTGCTCGGTGACTATCCACTTACGAAGATTCGGTCCCATAACCAAGGCGGTAAACATACCTCGAGCTGCTGAAGTCATATCCATTGCCTCTAGCTGTAGTCGCTCGTACTCCCGAAGAAGGACATCTTGCTCGGTGAATAAGCAAGATAGTTGGCCATAACTCCTCCGACTAAGGGCATCGGCTACCACATTAGCTTTCCCAGGATGATAGATAATGGTGCAGTCGTAATCCTTGACCAGCTCCAACCACCTACGCTGCTGCATGTTCAGCTCCTTCTGAGTGAAAATGTACTTTAGGCTCTTGTGGTCGGTAAAGATCTCACACTTGCCTCCATAGAGGTAGTGCAGCCAAATCTTCAAGGCATGGATGACAACAGCTAACTCGAGATCATGAGTGGGGTAGTTCTGCTCGTGACGCTCCAGCTGCCTCGAAGCATAAGCTACGACTTTCCCCTGTTGCATAACGACACATCCCAGACCCATCTTTGAAGCATCACTATAGATGGTGAATTCCAAAGTAGGTTCGGGTATGGATAGGAAAGGCGCGGTAGTGAGTCTCCTCTTCAACTCCTGGAAACTCTCCTCATACTTAGGATTCCAATCGAATCTCAGGCCTTCTTTGTAAGGTTGGTTAGTGGCTGGGCTATCTTCGAGCAGCCCTCGATAAACCTCATGTAGTATCCTGCTAACCCCAGGAAACTACGAACATCCGCGGCACTTCTTGGGGTATCCCACTTGCTCACTGACTCAATCTTGCTGGGATCCACCTCAATGCCTCGAGCTGTCACAATATGGCCAAGGAATGCCACACAGTTCAGCCAGAATTCGCACTTCGAGAACTTAGCATACAACTTCTCGCGGAGAAGAGTCTCTAGCACAATTCTCAGATGCTCCTTGTGCTGGTCGATATCTCGAGAATAGACCAGAATGTCATCGATGAACTCAATGACAAACTGGTCCAGGAAAGGTAAAAGACCCTATTCATAAGGTCCATGAAAACGGCTGGGGCATTGCTGAGTCCGAATTGCATTACCACAAATTCATAGTGGCAATAGCGGGTACGGAAAGCAGTCTTAGAAATATCCGACTCTCGGATATTCAGCTGATGATAGCCATAACGCAAGTCAATCTTTGAGAAGAC